CCCTCTTTCTCTTTATTAATTCACACTCTTTCTTATTCCCCTTTAATCATCAAATATATGCCAAAGTTTGTTATTTTTCCCCCTTATCTCATCTCCATCCTGTGGTTCTTCTCAATTAATGGGTATTTTTTAATGTAACCTGTGTTGTCACTCTCGCGTGTGAGATGTGATTGTAAAAAATTTGGTTATGATTTTTGTTGGTAATTAACAGTTTTAAGTGGTTATTGGGTTTTTAAGTCCACGTTTGGAATATTTGCTTGCAGTTTTGTGGAAGATATTTGATGGAGGCACGTGAGCTAAGGGCCCAATCACTAGGATTATGGTCCAAAGATTAGAAGAAGATTGTGCTAACATAAAGGAAAGGCCCATGACACTTTTTAGTTGTGTTGTTCATTAAGGCCTATGTAAACTAGAGTTGGCCTAATTAGGCTTGTATTTTGTTTGAGAGTCTTGTATTTTGGCCAAGTAGAGTAGGTTGTGTTTAGGTCATATATTTCAGCCATTTTTAGTCTTAATTTTATGTGAGTTTGTGTCTAATGGAATTTAAGACACATTTAGAATGCATTTAGAGTTATGTGACCGATCATGTGGATGGTGCATATGGTGTGACTCAAATTCATTCCAAATGTGAACCAAATCACACTATAATGCAAGTCTCACATGTGCAAGTAGTGAGTGGCGGGTTTGGTGCCGAGAATCTAGGAATAGAATTCAAATTTGAAATTCAAATTTGAATTCTAGGCGCCAAGGGTTTAAATTAACCATACCATGGTTAATTTAAACTCTCGGTCAAATAGATTCCTTAGAACTATTCCCGTGGCATATATATAAGATAATCCATTTTAAGCATTTTATGAGAGATTCTTCGACATATTTCTCTTGGTCGAAAGTCACCCATAGTGAGGGAATCATCTCTTCTCCTTAAGATTTTCTCTTTGTAGCCTTGGATCTCTAATCCGGAGAGCTTAGGCAAACCTATTCTAACACTTCTCCTTCTTCTTTTGGCTTCAATCCTTGAAGATTCCTCAAGGAGATCAAGAAGGAGTGGCGTGAAGAATAATTCATGGAGATGAATCCAACTAGAACTCCATCAGGGGGAAAGATGGGGAGGGTATATTGTAAATAAATCCAATTGTGTGCTAGTGTGTGTGGATTTGCGAGGATAGTGACTGAACCACAAAGTTTTGGTGGTAGAGGCAAGAAAACACGTTAGTTAGAAATAGTTGAGTTGTGAGTGAAACTTAATTAAAAGATAATGAGATTCAAATGATGTAATACATTTTTATCAAACTATTGAGCTGATACTTTTTTATCATTCGGAATCACAATGTCATGTATATATATAATTATTTGGACCTCTCAACAGGCTGCCTTTAGTAGTTTATTATCGAGTTAATATAAACTGTACTTATAGCCAACCTAACATTTCAAAAGTCTTTATAAGTAATTAATTATTTTTCAAAAGTTTCAATTATAAATACATAATAATCTTTCCATTCGTTTTTAGTTGTCAGATTTTTATTTATTTGTTTATCATTTTTAACGTTCAAGACAACATTAATTT